AAAACTATTGTGACTGTGAGCTTTTGCAGTGGAAGCTGACAGATGAAGCCGAGTTAAGTACTTTTTCAGAGGAGCTACTACAGTAAATCATTAAAGCGCACAAACAATCATCCTTCATCAGCCTGCAATTTGTTTTATAGCAATTGCAAATCGAAAACAATGTAAACAAACAAATCGACAACTAATGAACATTCCCCTACTGCTCACTGTAAATAGATCTACAACTTTAGAAGAACACTTTATCCAACACATTGTCAACTCATTGTAAACACATCTACAACTCATAAACAACTCATTACCCAGTATGTTGTCACCTCATTGCAATTAAAGTTGAATGCTAACTGTACTGTATTTTCCTGATCTGAATCAGTTCAGAAGCCTGGGAGAAAATATCTAGATATATTACTCCAGTAAGTATCAGGATTTCTAAGATCTTCTCAATGGAATTGGAGGTTTTTTCTTTTTTTTTTTTTTTTAATGTGTAAATCACACCAAACTGTATCACCTTTTATTCTATCTTATTTTTTTTTTTTTTTTTTTTTTCACTTAGACTTTTCCATTCAAGTACAACAGTGTTTCTATGGAATTTTTAAAAATGTGCTAAGTACTCCCCAGAAGGTTGTAAAACTCACAGGTTTGCTTGGAATTGTTTTGTTTGAACTACATTTGATAGTTCTATTTATTTAAAATTTTCTATAGCATTTGACATTTCTACTTTAAMGTATGATAGATAATACCTTGGTGTGATTGCTTATGAATGAACTTCAGATGCTTCTAAAATAGCCTTGTTAATGCAAAATTCATTTACCCTGAAAAAAAATTGATTTAAATGTTGCTTTTTTTAGCTCCTGTTTATTGCACTTCAATAAAATTTACCTTATCTCTTTCTCTGTTTACAGAAAGGAAGTTGAGTTCTAGCAAGTCAGCCACTGACTCCAAAGCGATTAAAAAGCATTCTGTGTTCAGATTTCTCAATGACTTCTGAATTTAAGAGAGAATTTCACTTGCAGTAGAGATCAGTGTATGGGAACCAGGCATATCTACCAGTATTTCTTTGAAGACCTACAATATAATTGAACTCAGTCAGAAATTATGATCTGGGTGAAGGAATTCTGCAATTGATTTTTGGAAGAGATAAGGCTAGATTTTCACAATGATTATTTCTGGCTTGATGATAGGTCAGACCAGCCTTAAAAAAAAAAAAAAGTTGAAAAAAAAAAAAAATATAAGGAGAGAAAAAAAAAAAAAAAAAAAAAAAAAAAAAAAAGATTTGTTTTAATCAGCCAATTGTCCAGAAATTGTGCTTATTGTGCTTTGAGAATCAAGATAGATTTTTTCCTAGGAAGTGTGATTTACTCATTTCTTTTTTTTTTTCCTTTCATATATTTATTTGTGTCGCAATAGGTGCCTGCATTTTGTGCTTCTGCAAATCCATCCCCATGAAAATTATCACTTATCCTTTTCCAGATTCWTTCTACAATAGCCTAATGAAGGAGAAAAAGAAAACTGGAATTCTGAAATGTGTTTCTAAAAGCAAAAGGCTTAATAAATCCAGGGAAGTAACTTTTGGTATTCTTCTCAGAGAGGAGATAAGTTACTGCTTTTTCCGGACTGTCATTTTCTTTTCTCAGTATGGCTTAGCAGTCCAATAGGAAGGAAATTAATCTCTTATTTTTAAAACTGCACAACTCTGTGAATGCATTTGTGTTTTAACTCTGCCAGTTCTATAAGCTCTACAAATAAAGTAAATTTTCTGAGGATTGCTCCAAGAGGGTTTGGCAAAATTAAAAGAAAGAAACTTTATTCAACCACCAAAACATTTATACRTCTACACAAAAATCCACATTAATGGAAAGTTACACTTTGACTGCAGAGGACCATTAATCCAACTCCTAATATTTACTAAACTATTACTATTATAAAAACCTCTTTCTTATTGCTTAAATTTGTACTATAGTTCTGAAATAACTGTAGTGCTTTCCTTCAGAAATAGGGTTCCTGTCTTAAGAAAAGACTTAAGACTTAAGAAAAGCACAGGCTTTTTCTTAATCATTTTAAGAAAAAAAGCCTCCTTGATTAAAACCTGGCTCCTTCACAATTTCTATTTGAACAGGAGGTCTAGAGGAAAGCCAGAACCATTTAGGACAAATCATCTCTATTTTTCTTAATAAACCTCTTCAAACTGTCTCTGTGTTTCCTGTGAGACTTGATATCATCAGAGGCACTGATTTATTGTGAATGCAATGTCTAAATTCTGTATTTAAGGCCCAGAATTCCAAGATTATACCTGCATGTAGCAAACTTTTTTCTCGTCTAACTCATATGAAAAGGAAGACAAATCTCTATGCATGTTCTTATATTGTTTTACTTACTTTAACACTTTGAGGTCACTTCTATGATGTGTAGAAAAAATATTGATAATTTCATGAAGAACTTACACGGCACACAAAGGATCTTCATCAKCAGATACACACCTCTCGAAGGCAAAATAAATCTGCAGTAATAATGTAGTGAATACTTATTGAGGTAGGTTCTTAATGGTACATATGATGCTATTCAAGGATGAATATCCTAAAATATTTCAAAATAAATGTTAGATTTGATACTGTGTTTTATGAAGGATACTGTTTCACATAAAAAAAAATACAGTAGAAGATCATAGTGCTCCTTGTGATTTAAATCTTTTAGACCATGAAGTTTTCATTCTCCTACACATCAGCAGCACTAAATGTTACTGGCCAAAAAGTCAGTACAATTTAGTTGGAGTTTAGATGTTCGCACTTAGCTTCTTTTGGATTTTATAGAGAAATGCTTTATGATTTCCATCAAATGGATCTGAAACAAAAGCACAGATTCCAGTTCCCCCAGATCACTGAGATTTGGAATTGGAGTTTGACTTCAGACTTCTGACAAATTGAAGCACTAAAAGTTCCACAGGAACTTAAGGAAAAAATTCTTGACAGTGAGAGTGACAGAGCACTGGAACAGGCTGCCCAAAGAGGTTGTGGAGGCTCCTGGAGCCTTTTAAAGATTTGGAGATGTTTAAAACCCACCTGAATGCAACCCTGTGCCACRTGCTCTAGGTGACCCTGCATGTGCAGGGGGGTTGGACTAGATGACCTCTGGAGGTCCCTTCCAACCCTAAGCATTCTATGATTCTATGAAATTACTGAAGAATCTGGCAAATAATTTGTGAGTAGCACAACATTTATTAAAAAAGGATTCCAGCCATTTTCTTGTCCCATTCAGACTAAGGATTTCTGAGACTGCAGATCTTGGAGTTGGTGAGGTGGGAAGTTCAGCATGAGTGTAGAGTATCTGCAGCTAGTTAATATATGAGCAAGGATACACTAAAATGAGATGTTTGACTCAATTACAGAGGCAGCGCCAGGGTTGTGGTATATCTGTGTTCCTTCACCAGTGAAGTTATGGAGGTGCTTGTGGCTCCAAAGCTTCCCCAGCTAAATTAGAAATGCATCCATGCTGACAGCAAGCACTGCAAGATTCAAGAATAGACCAGTTGCATAGAGAAGGGGACAAGGAAAGAACTAATAAGGAATGCAGGGATAATTTACATYTTCTTGCAACAAGAATAGCTTGAAAATTTCATCGTTTACAAGTAAAACTAATGCTTACAGAAATACATTAAAATTTGCAAGAAAATTCTAATTCCAGGATTCTGGATGTTGTGAGTCACAGGCTCTGAATATAAGTTCTTATTCATAGTTGTGCCCTTTCCTTTTAAGATGGAAAATATATTGTTCTTCCTCTTAATTTTATTTTGTAATGCTTTACATTTTCCTGGTATGAACTTGTTTTTGCTGTCTCTCTGTTACTGCAATATCATATTTATCCTTGAAAATGTGTGACTTGTGATCTTGTAATTCTTCATTCCGATTTTCTTTTTTTTTTTTTTTTTTGGTATAGATGTAGCATTTGCCAAAAGGTAATGAGGTTTCTTTTCAGCTGTGCTTTGTTTTACCATTTTGCCTGCAATGTCCTCTTGACTGTACATTTGGCAGTGGTCTATACTTCAACTTCTTCTAAATTCTTATTTTCATTCATCACTAAAATAAAAACCCAGCCAAGAATCTAGCCATTTCCTGTAGAAAGTTGCAGGGATTTTTTGCATTTTGTAAGAAATGCCCTAGGATGATAAGTAGTTATATTATCTCTGTTTAAAGATATAATAAATAAGTACAGAGCATGTGCATTTGTTTACAGGCTGGCTCACATTTTCTTTTATTCCCTCCAAAAGCTWTTACAGCCTTCTATCTATACCAGGCTGGCTGAGTTTTTCCTTTTTATATATTCTGGGTAAAATCTTGACCCTGCTGAAACCAATGGTTTAATTCCTAGAGTCAGAATTTCACATGTGTTTGCTCTATTTTATTTCACAGTGAGAGGTTTTGAGCAATCTAAATTATGTCATAACATTGACTTTGCAACATCAGTCTTGAATTCCTTATTAAGCTATAYGCCTTGTTTGCTTGCCATGGCGGGGAGAAGTGGGTCCTGCTTTACATAGCCAGTATAATTTAGATAGAAAAAGCCAAAATTTTTCAGGTGTTTTATCAACAAGAGAGATATGAAACTGGTCTACTGATTAGAAGTAGATATTCAGGTGATAAAATAGCAAGATGATAAAATTCCTCTCAAATAGGTGCAGGGAGCTTATTAAAGACATTTTAACAATTTGTGAATAAGATATCTACAATATATTTTAACTGTGGTTTGAGGGCAAAATAGGAAAAGGCGAACAGTGCTCTTGCATTCCCTGATTTTCATGTTACCTGCTTAGGGTATAATATATAAATATGACAGTATTCCTTGCTCTCGTCTGAAACCTCACGATAAAAAAAACATAAACATTGTACTTTGAAATTTCAATTCAGGCACCTGAAACAAAAGGCAGAAATTGCAGCACTATGTGTAATAACTAAGCCTCTTGTTATATGCTGCTGTATTAAATATAAAACATTTTCATTTCCTTTGTATAGGAAATTCAATAGGACCTGAAAAAGGGGTCAACCAAGTACTGTGACTTCTACTATAAAATGTGAGTGGTGCTAATATTCCTTTTTCAACTCTCATGTGACTGCAAATAACCAAACAGATAAAATATAGCTTTCATAAAACTGGAGGTTTGGTAGAGAATTAGCATGAGAGTTGTGCAGGCAACTTGCTAACGGAAGGCTGGCCAAGAGCTCAGATTTATGCTATGAAATTTAAATGGTTTTCTCTTGAGGTTATCTTGAAAATATCACTGTATGTGGTCAGGTTGGTTTACTGGCATGTTTTCCTGGGATTGTTTTCAAAGTGAAAGGGGGAGGAGGAGAAAGAAGGCTGTTCCTTTAAGAGGTGCACAGCTATCAGAGCATTAGGAAAGCATATAAAAATGCTTGTTATAAATAGCACAAATGGGAATTTTAAACATTCATGCATATCCAAGTTTGGAYGAAGGAATATTTAAGAAAATACAGGGGATGCTGTTGKAGAAGGGTGGAAGATTTTATTTTATTTTATTTTAGATGGGGGTTTATAGTGTTATATATTTTATCTCTGCAGATTTCTGCTGTAACATCAACACCAGAGAATTCTAAGGATCAAACTTTCAATTCAAATGTAAGTGTACTGAGATTTTTGCCCATTGATCTGAATTTCCAATCAAATTCAGACACAGATATTTTAATAGTCAAATTATGTTATTCACAGTATAGCCAGTAGAATTCTAGTAATTCAGAAACAAGAGGTCATAGACTGAAATTAAGGAAGGAGCTTATAAGCAACACAAACCTATAAGCAATTCAAGCAGAATTTAATTACACAAAGGGTGGCTGAATTATAGAACACATTGCTGAAGGCAGCAATAGATGCAAGAATTATAAATCAGTTCAAGAAAGACCTCAGAGAAAGGAAATAAAAAAGTAAAACAAATCAGCCTTTTTAAAAACATCCCATGGTTAAATGGGGCAGGCCACAGTGGACTCTCAGTCAAGCCCTTATCCTTTAAATGTTGCTGTGTTTCCTAAGGAAGAAACTAAATAGTCCTTCTATTGATTTCCATAATAGCTGTAGTTCACTACTAGAAATACATGAGTGTGTTCTTTGTGCATTACCTGCGCTTACAGAATTTTGTTGCATTTCCTTTTATTTCAAACTTCATTTACACTAGCACTGTTTTACGTGACTCTGGCAGTATAAAGCAGTCATGAAGTAAGTGTAAATATGATTTATGCTCCCTTTACACTAGCAAAGTGATGTATAGCATCCTCAGGGAATGCCTCAGGAATCAAGTCCAATGTGCGTGGAAAGGACATATAAACACTCTTTAATTTGACTTAGGAAACACACACCTTACTTAATATTTTTGGTACAATTTTAAGACTTATTTCTTCTCCTTAAAAGAGACTGGCAGAATTTAATTCGGTATTCTCAGCATATTAATAGTTCACTAAACACTAATCACTGATAGTTCACTAATGACACTAAAAGCACTATTTTATACCTACACACCTAAACAGATCACTGTTAACAGGTTTATTAATATCYCTTATTTCCAATATTTGCAGTCTCAAGTATATTCAACATAGAAAAATGTAAGAAGAGTAATGATTACTCAAAATGTCTACTCTGGCATTATTTTGATATTAAAACCGAGTATTTCAAGGTTATTACTGTATAATTCCTTAAGTACCCCACCAAATCCTTCATATAATTGCAATGTTGATCTTTAGGTCGATTAAATAGAAATGAAGCAATAAAATTCTCCTTTTCATCAGAGAGAATTAACAAAAGAAACTCATGAAAAGATACATAAATCCACATTTGCCTCATTTAACTGTATGCCTACAAAAATTTCATGGAAAATTTTGGTGAAAAATTAGACGCAAGCATTTTTCTGCAGGTATATTCACATTTCCCTGAGTGAGAGGTGCTGGCTGATATTAATATTAATCAATATTAATTGATGCTTTGGGCCTTAGGAGCATGTATTGTTCAGCCATGTGAATGCTAGCAAGGAAAGGAGCTGCTGTCAGCAATCACAGTAGCCTCACCTACCTTTTTAAACGCTCAGACTCTGATGTCTGAACTCTCATAGAAAAGATAGAGACAAGTGCTTGAAGAAATTAAAATTGTATTTATTTCTACAGTGAAGAATTTAAATACTTGCACTACAATGGTTTGAATATCCATGACATGTTTACTAACACTGTACTCAGGACTGCACTGTAATTCAGGACTTCATTAGTACTGAAGTACTTCATTAGTACTGAAGTACTGATTCCCATCATTTCTGTGGCATTCAGAAATGGGGTGCTGTGCCTCAGAAAACCAGGTCTTTAATTCTGTTCATATACGTCCATATGTTTTGCACCTTGTGAAATAACTGAATTCAATGAAGTAAAAAGTGACCCTAGCACCAGTTCTTCAGAAAAGCAGAGCATTGTCCKGGAATCAAACTGTAAAAATTAAATTTAATTTTCCAGACTTATTTGAGTAGCTATTTTAGCTATTTGATTCTCTGATATTTAGTCTTTGATATTTAGCTTTAATTTCACTGTATCTAAAAAAAACTGTATCTAAAAATCACTGTATCTAAAAAAATCTAGCAGCTTTTTTTTTTTTTTCCCCCCTCGCACATGGCAATTACTGGCTCCAAAATGGAAAGTATTTGATTGAAATAACCCAAAATCTAACTAGCATCACAGTTAGAGAGGAAGACTTGATTTAAAATGTATGTGCGTGGCAGCCATGCTTTATGCCTATGAATGGTTTCTTTCACGGCAAAAAGAGATAAAGGATTAACAAAAGCCCAGAAGAATAAATAAAAATGAAGAAACTGCTGATGCATTGCTTTTTCTTTTTTATTTTTAGATTTATGCATGGGAGACAAAGAAATCTATATGAGCTCCTGCCTGGATCTTCCCTCCCAGYCCTTATGTTAAAAAAAGAAAATTAAATGTAATTGCTTTGACATTATTTTACAGAAACAGTTTTTCATTCTCTCCTATTGATTTGCACCTTCTCACTTTCCTTACCCTTGTCAAAACTTGGTGCGTGCATCCTAAGCAGGGGAACAGAAATCAGCCCTGTCTTGTTTTGAGTGCCATTGCTTTGCGATCTTAAATGCCCCTCAACCCTTTTGTCAATATTTATTGATGGGATCCACAGGCACTCTGAGTGATCCTGCTCGTGATGGGGGTAAACCAATGGCAAGCAGGGAAGGGAGAGAAAGGGGGTGCTGCTCCAGGCAAGAACTGGTTAGGAAACATCAGAAATCTTGGGAGCCATTGACAAAATGTCAAACATCTCAAAYCTTTGATTGTCTCTCTGGCTAAAGCCATGCTAAATGGAAACATTAATCTACCCTAAAGCAGAAACGGATATATAAACATATATGCACAACACATGCATGGATGCCCACCTACACACGCACACACAGGCATACAAATAGTCTTCAGGGAAATTAAGCAGTGCCAATGAAAGCATGGACAGAGAAAGTTCTTGGATAAATTAACAGTGCAATTACATTACATGACATGCCACAAGATGGATGAGGAAAACTTGGCTGGTATTATGTTCTGTTTTCAAATTGCAATTTATTTGAGGGTTTTAATGGATGCCTTATTAAAACATCTCTGCATTGGTCAGGTTTCAGCGTGTGTCACAGCAGCCCATGATTGATGACACCCTCTGCTGCTTCCCTTGCACATTTGCAGGGAATTTAAGCAAAGAGGGAATGAACAGAGCCCCCGATTCGTATTGATCGTATGAAGGTGCACTGCCTGAGAGCACAGTCTAATAACATTCTCTTAGCAGAACTGCCTCACATGAAGGCATTTATTACAAGAACTAAAATGTTATATTGCTCAAAAGAAAAGAACATTGTGCAAACAAAAAGTAATGAACAAGAGAGAGGSAGAGAAAAAGAAAAGAAAAGCAAATGTATAACTTGAAGCAATGAAGTGCTATTATCTCCTAAGACTATATTTCAGACAGCCAGAAGAATGATGAATTTAACTGGGTTTTTTTGAGAGTTTTCTGAGAAAAAAATGGAGACAGCTATTCCTTTCCTTTTATCCATTTCATTTAGATGAGATCTTGTAATTATGCTGGTAGCAAAGAGGGTGGAGGTCAGAACTAAACACAATTAGGATTTCAAACATCAGAATGGATAGCTTGACATTAATCATTTGACCATCCAATGTCTTTCTTCATCACTTTAAGTACTATATACTGTAGTTAATCGACCTGACTGTCACCCATTTGATGGGCAAAAAGCACTTGCACCTAACCAGTGTAAATCTTAAAGAATCCCCCCCTCCGCCGACACATAAGCACACGCTTTTATAGGGAAGCTTCTTGATAGATTTGGACTATATCCTCATAATGTAAGAAGCATCATCTCTTCTGCTGTGAGACTCGCAACATGTTTGAAGTACAAGAATTTTCCACGATCTCAAACTGCAAATGCATTGTTAGCTCTTTTCCTCTCAAAACATTCTTCATTCTTTTAAAAAATTCACATACGTAGCTCATCACATCAGCGATGTTTTGTTAACCGATGTATTTTTTTTCTTTGTAAATGGAGTCAAGCTGAAGGTAAAATGAGATAATCAACTACAGATGAGGTAGAGTAAGAATAGCTTTGCCTCCAGGTACCTCAAAAACACAATACTGATTACAAATAAAAATTCAAGTTGGGCATTAGTGTCCAATTCTTTCCAACGCTGAGTCCCACTTTGCAGGGACACTGCTTTAGCTGCATTCCAGTCACTTTGACTTTCTCTTGGCCTACAGGAAGCACTTAGTACCATCCATGATCAGATCTCGAACACATCCAAAACAATCCCCAAATATCTATGCTTGGGGCTCAGTTAAGTACTGCCTCATCTCTTCCATCACTGCCTCTGGCTGTTTGCCACACTGAAACCATTGCAGTTTCAATTCTAGGCCGAAAAGATTATTTGTTTGACCTGCCTTGCTCGTCATTATCTGAGCTGCTAATTTTATTATTCTGTTAGCACCCTGGGCTGCATGGTATAAAGCGATACTATAAAAGTGTAGTTTGATTATATTGGAATCATTCAGCATCACAGGCTCAGCAAGCAAAATGCAGCACTCCCACCCGCACTGCTATGATAGAAAAGAAGAGGCAGTAAAGAAGCGAGGAAAGGAGGGGAAAAGCTGTAATAAGGATAAACAGGAATAAAACAGCCAGGGCAGTCAAGCACTTTACAAATTTGTTCAGGTTAGGGATTGCCAAATTTCCTATGAGGGTTTCTGAGAGACCCTATAGTCAAAACATTTTTAAGATAAAGGTAATAATACTAAAAACACCTACTTACAAAACCTCATTTTAATAACTGCAAAATCTGAAATCTGCAAATCTTTTTGCTGACTAGAAGCAAAGTCAGAAGTCTCAAAGTCTCTAGGTCTTAGAATTCACTTGTGAGAAGATGGCTTGGACAATTTATAAGTATTTCTTAGAGTTTCAGAGTATGATCGGGTTTAAACTTTTAGAGAACCTGCTCTGCTTTTACTGTCTTTGTTGCAGTTTTCTTAACTTCTTTCTGCCATAGTTCAACCATTCTTTTCTACCTGCTTTTAATATATCTTGA